ACATGTCTATACTTTATGCCAAATACTTTTACTTTGTGTAACCATCATCATCGGAGACACAGAATGTTCACCAGATAACTGCCATTTATTAAATGCCAATTAAATGCCAGAGACTGAGTTCAGTACTATTTATTCAATATCTATAACTGCACTAAGCAGGTAATTATTGTCCTATTTTATATATGAGAAAACTAGCCTAACATCATACAGGAAAATTCTCTTCCATGAAACTTAGGAACCAACCCCCACCCACCCATAGCACACATAGCAGGAAGTGAGTGACAGGGGAGTGAGCGAAGCTTCATCTGTATTTACACCTGCTCCCGCTCCCTCATCTGTGGAAAAATTGTCCTCCATGAAATCAGTCCCTGGTGCCAAAAAAGTTGGGCACCACTGCCATACTATGTGCAATTAAATTATTTCAATACTCTTATAAAGAGTATTCAACACTCACTATTAGAATTCTCACATGAGGAAAATCGGTTATATTTTCATATCATAAAATCTTAATAAAGATTATAAAAACTAGCATATAGATAGTGATGAGATATAATGCTGTCATATTATAGTCATTCAAAGAATGTAACTTCTCCTCTGGTGTACTGTAATTATTTTAAAGCATAAGTCCTTGACTTTTTTTTATACATCCTTGCTTTTTCAAATCCATTTCATGAAGAAAATAAGTTCAATAAGTGTTTATGAACAAGTAAACAAATAATAAGATTTGAGTCAGCATATGTTCAAACAAAGGTACTGGGCTATTTAGTTATCACTTATTTATTTATTCATTCAACTAATATTTACTGAGTACCTATTATATGCCAAATACTGTTATTGTTACTGAGAATATGCCATTAAACAAAACAAACCACCTATTTTCATAAGCCTTACATTATTTTAAGGAAAAAATTCATTTGATTTTTCAATTATGAGCCTTATTATAAATCTTGAAACTGGATGTGAGTAAATATGATTCTTTCTCTATAGAAAATTGGTTTAAATACAATAACTGTGAACTCCCATATCCATACATACTATTGAAAAGACTAAACAAAATCATGAAGCATGGAAGCCAGATGATAAGGGAGAAAAGAGGAAGTGTGTGGCAAGGGAGAAATGCATATTAATACATCTGTGAGTTCTACACAACTTTCAAGGGACAGATAACTCCTATCTTACATGTCATTTCATAAAATAGACAAAAAATGGAGAGATGTTCAACTCATTTTGATAAGGCCAAAATAATACTGACTTACAAACCACATGAGAACAACACACACAAAAAAGAAAATTATAGGCCTGTGTTACTTATGACCATACATACAGATATGAACAGTTTTTTTAAAAGCAACAATAAAGAAGAGCTAAATTCCATGGGATGTTATAAAAGTAGTAATACATGTCCATCAAATTCAGTTTATCTAAAGAATGCAAGTATGATTTAACATCTCAAAAAAATCTATCAATGAAATTCACCATATTCACAAAATACAGGATAAAAACCATAGGATTATACTAATATATGTGGAAAAAATTCAATAAAATTCAACACACATTTATGTTTTTTTCAAAAACAGTTATCAAGAATCTAGAAATAACTAAAGAATATTTATCAAAAACCTACTGTAAACATCAGTTAATTAAATTCTCTGTAAGATTAGAAATTGGACAAGGATGTCCACTATCACTTTACTGAACAACAAAGTAATGATGATCCCAGCCAATACAATAAGACAATAAAAAGAACAATGAGATATATGGATAGGAAGAAAAGGAACAAAAGTCAGTATCTGCAGACAATATGACTGACTACACAGAAGACCTAATATGAACCAAAAACCACTATTATAACTAATAAAATAGTTGAGCAAGGTTGACAGATATAAGATCATCTTATGAAAATCTATAGTATTCCTTAATAACTAATTAGAAAATAAAGTAGAAAATAGCAACAAAAACGATAAGTATTTTGCTAGTAATCTAACAAAGAATGTCCATGTCAACATGTGGGGACGAAGGGAACTTAATTAAGTAATTTTTAAAATCTTATTCTTCCATGAATGGGATGACTTAGCATTATAAAGTTGTCAATTCTTCCCAGAATTTATTTATAAATTCAGTCAATTCAAATCAAAATTCTAGAAGG